AAATTACCGCAAATATTTTTCCCGCAAAAATTTACTCTAGAGTAAATATTCTCGAACTTAAATTCGCTACGCAATTCAATTACAACGTGCATCTTCATTCAGGAACAAAACGGTATACAATGAATTGGTGGTTTTCCATGGGGTACGCATACCGTAGTACTGTAATACCGTATGTATTCCTATTGTACGTACTTAACAAAAACGAAAATATTGTCAATGCTTGGTACTGGGTACTTTCGAAAAAACTCAAAAATGTATTCCTAGCAATAAAAACCAATCTGTCCTAATCGCAAAAATTAGTTCCCGCAAAAAACAAAAAATCGCCAATCCGCAAAAATAAATTCCCGCAAAAATTTCGTGCCACACGAAGTATGACCAATACTCAACATACAAAGGAAATAATTTAAACAGTCAGCTCAACAGAGAATTGAAAAAAAATTTGAACAAGGATTGCAAATAAAATATAACGTTAAAATGAAGCTCGGAAGAGATAAACTGATAATATTGAAACGTATTGTATTTAGGTAAACCGGAAAAACAACGGCTCTCCTTCTTTGAAGTTTGTTTCCGTTTATATGGAGATGTATTTTGCAATGAGCCGATCATTTTGTGAACAAAAGGCGTTTTAAAAATTCTCTCGTCTCGCTAATTTGTAGTTTTTAAGCCCCAAGTAAAGAAAATTGTGCAAAATTATGTAAGATAGCGTGATCAAGCCACTAAGTTCAATTCGTGAACATCCGAACAATATTCCTTTCACTAAATTAAAGCCAGTGGCGGATCCAGGGGAGGGCCCCCCTTATTTTTAGACCAGACTGAGGCCCGAAGGACCCCCCCCTTATCTAAAGGTCTGGATCCGCCATTGAAAGCCACACAAGTTAAAGTGTATGTAGCGTGTAAGAGAGGGTGAGGGGCAGCTTTGGTTATTCCTCACTGTCTTTTCTCTTCACTGTAGAGCTACCTTAGCCGTTTGTTTTAAAATTAGCGAAACGCGCCATAATAGGGCTGTTAGTAATGAAAATTCAAGTTTTTAGTTGTGCCTGTCATTCAAGGGTCTGTTATTCATTTCATTTGTTTGACGCTTGCTATTGCATAAAAATATCGATGATCATAAAAATAGCTTTGGCTTAGTTTCAACACGACGCTTGGGGCAAATGAAAATAAGCGCTTAGATTCTTTCTTTTCGTAAATTCTCTCGTTTGCCGTACAATAATAGAAATTACAAAAAAAATATAATGTAAGTCGAAAAAAGAAGTGGCAAGAAGACCTAACGAGGAAACTACAGGAGTTTATGAGAGGTTAGGCCTCCTTGAACTACGGGGTATAGCTGCTTACATTAAGTGAATAAAAGATGGCGCGTAGAGTAAAAAGTAGAAAAGATTTAAGATCGGTTTTGATATTTACTTAATAAATTAATCTGTAGTATTTTCCTAAAGAAGGAAAGAGATCGAGAGTTGAGTGATTTCGTTGTCAAGTGAATTGAAAAACTTGGTTCCTTGACAAAAAAATTGAGAACTTCACGAATAACTTGATGCTAAACACTCGTTAAAACACAGTTTATAACTCCAAGCGATCATTCACGTGAACTACTTACCTTTGCAAACCATCCCGGCCTCCAAAGCCGTTTGAAATATCTCTATTAAGACTCTCCTATTGGCTGCCTTTTCTGGCTCTCATCGACGAGGTTGGTTTTTCACGTCCCAGTCCGCTGTACTGCGGATAATATTCAAGATCTCACTTTCTGAGACATTGGGCTCATAATGTGGTGTTATAGGTTGCTGACGTAAGAATTGGGTGTTTTCATGAGCTTGACATTTTACTGATATTAAACAAACGTTCTTCAGCTTGAAAATAGAAGTATCTATGGTTACAGCCAATTTGTAATAATGATAATAATAATTATTATTATCATTAAATGTATGTATTTACTTTGCTCTTACCTTTCTATAGTCATACAGAAGTTATATTGAAAATGAAATGTGTCTCGTAGCCTTTGTAATTTGGTTATTTCGTGTTGTTCGTTAATGTTCAGTTATAAACATAACAAATATGTTTAAGTATTTTCAACAAAATAAATTTGAACCCTGATGCCTGACTAGACTGCTCACAGTCCCCTATTTTTCCGTAAGATTGTCAAGATCGAGCGCTTTGCGTTAGGGGCAGCCATCTTGGATGAGTGTCAAATCTACTTAGGGGTGCTATAAACCTCGACGCCCTCCCCCTCGGTACATATGGAACCAAGATGGCCGCCTGTACCAGTAAGCGCTCTATCCTGAGGATATTACGAAAAAAATAGCGGACTGTGAGAAGTCAAAACCTAACACAGTACAAATCAAGCTTCGGCTGCTATTTGTTCGAGATCACCTGGTCCCCTAGTAGATAACGGTTCTTGTTAAAAAGAATAAACTGTTCAAGTTTGTAATGGAATGGAACTTAATGGGAGTTAAAAGTTTTCGCGTGCAGCTCAAATGCTTTTCTACCGAAAAAATGGGTCACCATCACTATTATTCACCATAACATAGTTTTGATGTACCTGAGCTCAAACCATGACCTTTCTTTAGGCGTCTTACCCCATGGATACTAAAATAAATGGTCGTACCGTATTTCCTCCCACGCTATAATAATATATTATATAAGAAGCTTTTATATAATAAAATTAGGAGCTTTTGATACTGACAGCCGGGTGCCAGGCCAATAAGTTATCAATAAATTATTCAAAATCCAAATTTACGGTTTTCAAGCCCAGGCTTACTATAGGTGACCAACTACTGTTTTGACTTCAAGTTTACGTAATTAATGTTGTAGTGTATTAAAGATTTAACCGAAATAAAGTTACGGTTCGTTGAAAGTAAAAATTAATAAACACCTCCTTCCAATAAGTGCCCCTTCTTTTTAGCCGAAATTTTAATAAGCGCCCAGGCGCTTATCGTTTTCGAGGTAATACTACGGTAATTTTCTTTCCTCGCCATCATACACTTGGGGGATAGTATTAGAGTAAATTTAGATAAAACTGAACCATTACAATAGGGTTTTCTTTTATCCCAATATGATTTCAGGGTTTTAAAGTAATTCTAGTTTCTTTTACAATTTTCAGTAATTTTTCCTTTGTATGGAAATGTGTAATAAAGTGTTGCTGAGGATAAAGTTAAAAAAAATAAAACATATAAAACAAAAGTAATACCAAAAAGTCGTGACATAGCTCTTTCAAGGACCGACAATTAAATTCCATAGCTTTCCAGGCCTGGGAAACGAATTTCTCAAGTTCAATGACTTTCCAGGGTTTCCATGACCTTAAGAAACCCTGTATGTATGCTGTTTGAAAGTCATGGAAAGAAGGTTTTGTTTGGAAGATTAGTTACTGCAGATGAAAAAGCAAAGACAATGTAAAGTAAAGAGAAGCAATTAAAAAGCGCGAATAGTACGCTATTTTGTGGACACCAGAGTTGGTGTTTGTTGAACCGTTTAAGGTAAAAATTACCTTAAAACACGGAAGGTTTTGAAAATTTTTGAAAGCGACAGCAAAACCTAAGGTCGTGGAAAACTTGAAAAGGTCATGGAAAAAGTCATGGAATTTGAAGAGTTTAAAAGAGTACGAACCCTGATGTGGTATATAAACAAGCCTTTTAGTATGTCTAACTTACATGTATTACTGTTCCGAACTCAGTGTTTAGACACGTTTGGAACACGTTTATGGAAGAACGTTTAAATAATGACTCTATTTATGGTTTAAACATGACTGAGACGACGAATTACATACACGCTGTTTAAAAATCCCTTTGATTAATCGGAACATAAATTTCAATTCTAAAAATTCCATTGATTACGTTAATTCGGTACCACACATTTATACACATCATCTCTTCTTGTACTTAACTGCTTTTGGTATAAAATAACCTACTGATAGTTATTAAATGTATACACTATAGACATTCTAAAAGTGAAGGGGGTTAGAACTTATTGAAAAATATATGAATGAGTCATATTATGAGTATTTTCCCACCGTTTTGGTCTTTTCATCAGTAAGAACCGCAATTGTTTTTTTTGTCTCTGAATATTGTACAGTTACTTAAGAAACTGTACACTGCTGCAAGTTCACATGGGAAAATGGAAAAATTGTCATTGACCACCTTTGAAATGGCTTTAGTTTGTGAACGTTTTCACACTGTTGCTTGGCTCTATTCATTCACTGATATCTCTATTGTTCGTTATAGGCATATTAGTAGTCAATCCACCAATACCTGGTCCAGTGGGACAATGTACCGGTTAACATAGGATTAAGTCTTTCAACTCCTTGGGTTCTTTCCAAAACCCTAGTTTGGTTCTCGAAAGGCTTTTTAAACATGTTTAAGCTCAAGTTACACCTTAGTTGTTGCTGAGTCAGAGAGAGACCTTACCATACCCTTATCTCAACAACCAACACTGATTTTGCGATCAGAAGTGAGTATGCAAAAGTTATCTTTAGTTTCGGGCTTTTGAAATCGCTAGCTAATAATATTGTGCAGTTGCGCGTGAAGTCTTGTGGAAATTCGATTTTTCGAGCCTACCCGAGAAAAGGAAATTGCTGCGAACTGTCGCTGAGGTTCGGAACTTTTAAGTTAAAAGTGTTTGAATAGGGGTAGGAAAGTCTTGTGGAGGGAAGTCGCCGGGAGGTTCGAAGTCGTTCGCGGAGAACGAGAAATCGTGATCCTAGTGTGATACTGTGTTTTTGTCAAAGGGTTAATTATGAATTATGAATTCAAGTCATATATTACTTTATTTTTTTTTTAGATCTGCTGTATTTACTAAACAAGCGACTATCGCTGCGGTGAGGGGTATTTTAACAGCAAAATAAGGAAAGGATTTGTTTGCCACTCGACGACCGCGCTTATTTTTTATACACAGTGAATATAGAGGCACGACCGCTAAAAAAAGTTTAGACAACGACTGGAACTAAACGGGGCAATTTATTTTAATACGGTCAATAAAATTTGAACGGAGTTATGGAGGGAAACTTGGAATGTGAAATGACAGTACGAAATGTCACGAAGAAAACAGTGGTTACGTCATCCACAATTACAACAAGTTCTGGACGAAAACGAAGCTTGGTGGAAATTGTGCCTAAAGGGGAGCCTTTTCCGAATTATGATGTAAAGTTAGTTCCAGGGGAGCGGAAGAATTCCACAAAATTGTATGAATTAAACAACAATGACTCCAACAATAACCAGTCTTCCTTGCTGGAGCAACCAACGAAAACGGTCGAAGAAGGGCGACGATCTATCGGGCAGTCTCGGAAATGCTCCGATCATGTTTCCGAGCAACCAATCATGATTGTTACGAGAGGAAGAAGGTCCCGGATAGAGGTCCCAGAGTGGATGGAAGAGCGAAAATGTCCAGAAACGGAGTACCAACCCAGTGATATTTCAGACATTGACGATTTGTTGAAATATCCAGCCGATTATTCGCCAAGAGAAAAAGAGATAGACGACAACGTCGAGGAGGACAGGATCCATCCAGAATTTACCAAACGGAACAAACAGCTTGTTCCTGTTATTTCAGATAAAAACGGCGTCAGTGAATCAGACGAGGACTCCAGTGAATTTGAAGAAGAAATTGTAGTGGTGGAGGTCCAAAGAAAACCGAGCTGGAACAAAAAATTGGAGTCTCCTAGACAAGTCGAGGTTCCCGAGTGGATAAAAGAGCGAAAATCTTCAGGAACAGAGTGTCAACCTATTGACGGTTTGTTGAAATATCCAACCGATTATTCACCAACAAAAGGGGAGATTGAAGACAACGCCATCGAGACTTGGATCCACCCGGTATTTGCCAAGCGGGACAAACAGGTTTTTCCTGTTCTTCTGGATGAAAATGGCGTCGACGACTCCGGCGAAGAGTCCAGTGAATTTGAAGAGGAGATTGTAGTGATGGATGTCAAGAGAAAACCGAGTTGGAACAAAAAGCTGGTGTTTCCTAAACAAGGGCCAGAAAGTGCTGGAAAACCGATTGAAGACCTACTCGTGGCGCAGACAATTCGAGTTCAAGAGTCGGCTCCCGATGAGTTATTGATTGAAGAGAAAATCGAATGTGTGGAACGTCCGTCGGTATTTCGAGAAGTACCTGACTTCGCTGCTTTAGAGAACCTGTAATGACCAGTCACGAGTGGAGAAACTAATTAGGCTTTTGCAAAGTGATTCAGACTGAAACAATGTCCAGGCCCGAACACCGAAGCCAGTAATATGCGCTTTCTTATGAAAGACATGTGTATGAACTGAGTCAACAGGTTAGGGTATCATTTAAAAGTAGCACTCGCTTTTTTTCGATTTATAAAAGTATTTGCGTGATTTAAGACACCGTTTACTTCGGTATTTTTCTCCCCTTTTATTTCAAATGCTCGTGACACAGTCTTCTCGGTTTCACTCTACACTTCAAGTGAAAACTGAGTATATTTCTTGAGTCTCTTAAATAAGTCTCTTGTCTTTATTTTCACCAATGTAAAAATGTTTGCTGTACATTTCAGAAAAAAAAGTATAAGAAGTCTTAAAAAAAGTTTTACTAGAAAATGAGTTAGCATCCTATCTACCAGTGAGTGTTTTTGAGCTAAAAAAAACACCGTCATGTTGACGTTCCGAAAGTTCGAAACCCATCTATCAACTCGCAGAAATCGCCGCCCTTGAAACTGGCAAAAGAACTAGCAGTAAATAAGTAGAAAAACGCAGCCTCGTTCTCAGGTCGATACGCGAAGGCTTTGGGAAGAGAGAGTCACTGCGACTTTAATTGCCAACGAGTAAGCACTTTTGACTCTTATACTTTCGTAAGAACTTTTTCACATAAATATGGAAGCGAGTCACTGAGAGACAAAGATATGATTGCTGTTCCTGAGAAATATCAAAGCCACTGAGGTCGGGAACTTACGCAAAAACTTCACGAACATCGAGGCCGCTGTTGGAGGAAAAATCTCCTGTGAACGATTTTGGAAGAACCGTTCCCAGTGCCGAGATATACTGCTGGGGGTAAAATAGGTAATAGCTTCATTTCGTTGCTATGACAACTCTGATGTTCTTGCAACCCTGATCATAGCAAATTCCCATCTTTATCTACTACAATTGTGGTGACAATTTCTCCAAATCTCTGTTTATGGCAACGTAGTTTATGCTCAAACTTGGGAGGTATTGACCCTGAAAAACTTTATCGAGCCACCTTAAGCATCGCGTTTACGGCACTGAAACGGCAAACGTGAGATACAAGCTGAGAAATTTTCAAAATGAGGAATGAGCAGATATAAACAGCTTAAAACAAATTTTTATGGATAGAATTGGCTTGAATCTACCGATTTTTGTGTAGTGAAAAATTTCTTAACATATCATCGGTTATCAACTTTGTTTCGATTCTCCTTGAAGTTCTCCAATGTATATGTTGTAGTTAATTTTTTTTTATTTCAGTTGATTTTTATTTTTCCATTGCTTTTGGGTATGATAATGTATGCTAATGAATTTGAAACAAAGGGAAAACAAAAATTAACAGAAATGAAAATTTAACTGCAACATACATGTCAGAAAACCTACTCCACTTTCAAACATTTGATCGTTCGATGAGACGATCGCCCTCCCAACGGACAAGCATATCCCATCGTTTAAAACGGACGGATAGCGTGCAAATATGCAAGAGCTCTTTTTTGTTACGACTACGCGCTGGGCGGGACGATGTTTGATTTGCGGAATATAAATCAAGGGATTTAAAAATTTAATAACCTTAGCGTATAATTGTAAGTCCTAGATGGGTCTTTGGCCTAGGAGTGTCACTCATTCCTCATTTACTTGTTTTGGAATCGTTTCAGTTCATGCCGTTTCACTTCATTTTTTCCATTTGACTGCTTCTCTGCAAATGCGCATCATTTACATTTTCCCATGTTTGTTTGTTCTTTTCTTTTACTTCGTTAAGTTAAAGGTGCATGTTTTTCTTCAACAACGGATTTTTTCTTGACCTCTTTAGCAACATGAGGAGGGAAAGCTGTTGACATCCATACCGTCTGGGTGAACCGTGCCACTAGATTATTGGTCATTCTTAAGAGGATTAAGTCTTCTCTTTCGCTTCTGTATAAATTAAAAAGTCATTTGTTTAAGGTGTGAGTTGACGTTCTCGAAATTGCTTGAAAACCTCGGAATCTTTGCTTTCTAGGGAGGTATAAAACAACTTCTCAAAAGTAGGTTCCGATATATAGGTTATCGAAATTATCATCTTTAATTTAAAAGAGCATGCGAAAGAAGTAAGTTATTTTTAGTTTGAACATCTATAGGGATCATTAGAATTCAAGTCCTCTGTGTTGTTCTATTTTACTTCAGAATCCTTCGGAATTTCAACAGTGCTTCGTGCTTGCCCTCGCCCCAAAACGGGGAAGGAAAACTGCCGAAGTCAGCCTCTTGTGGTGTTGCGGCAAAACTTTCCAGAACGAAGAAAAATTTGTCGTAAAGAACCAAACAAAGGCCCCGAGCAAAGGGCAGTGAGGTGAAACAAAACGAAGGTAAAGAAACTTAGACGGGAAAACAGAAAAGGAATTATTTTGGAGTGGCGAACAAAAGTTAAGTCAGAGTTTTGGGAGATATAGCTACGTGAGCGAAATACTATATCTACTAGCGATGAAGAAGACCGAGATAACCTCGACCTCACCTACGACCCGTTTTCAGAGTCAGTCAGCTGTGAAACAGTCCTTTGAAAGACGTGACGTCAAGAGGTTTTCAAAGGAGGTTTATTCAACGTTGTCTTCCGAATCGTTCAGCTTCAAAAGCATGAATACTCAGTACAGTTCAGTATATGAGCGTTCCTTCACAACGAAGTCAATCGGAGGAGAGGAGACCAGGAGGTATCTCGAATCCCACACGAAGACTTCCGATCGTAGTGACGAGCAACCGCTTGTGGCTGTTGTGAAAGATAAATCTAAGGTAAACGTGCCAGAATGGATGGAGGAACAGAACTCTCCGGAACTAAAGCGACGAGGCGTTAACTCTTTAAACATCGACATTTTCTTGACGTATCCGAGCAATAGTGCTGAGCGAAGGAATGGCCACGAAGACACAGCAAGAGAAAGCATGATCCGTCCCGAAGTCGCCAAACGAGACGAACAGTTTATTCCAGTGTTTCCAGTTGAAGAAGACTACGAAGAGGATGAAGACGATGAATTTGAAGAAGAGATTGTAGTGGTAGATGTTGTAAGGCATCCCCTTTGGCGAAAAGGATTGCAAATTCCGAAACCACAGCCAAAAAAGGCCGGAAAACCTATTACAGACCTCCTTGAGGTTCCCACACTTCAACCGAAGCAAAAATCTACCTCCGAGGATTTATTGGTTGATGAGAAAGTCGAGTCAGTGGAACGGCCTCCTATGGTTTTTGCGGAACCAGACTTTAGTACATTTTAAATAACAAATGCAACAGTTACTTCAGGGGCTTGTTTGACCTCAGTATCGCTAAACAGTGGGCTTAGACTAGAGTATTGGATTCCCTAGGGTTTGACCCTATAGATAACAGGCAAATTATGTCTACGTAGTGATAATAGTGAAGTTATCTCCTGACGCTGTATTCTAAAGCAATGACCAAACAAAAAAGCAAATATGCGGCACAGGTTCTAAGATTGCGGATTGGTAGACACACTTGAACTGGGATCTATAACTGGATTGTTTTCCACACTTATCAGAAGAGAGGAATTAAACGCTGATTTAATTCATAGTATCATTTTATATCAAAGCAAGATAACACTGATATCGTCAATATCCGTGGAGAGGTTAACTAGTGTGAACTTGCGACTACGTTGACGATAAACTTGCTCATATCGTGGTTGTGCGGCCAAACTGGCTGCCAACAGATCCAAAAAGTGCTGTAATTTAAGAGTCCACCTTGAGAGTCTCAAGCAAATCGACTTACCGAATGTTGTTTATTTTAAGAGAAATAAGATTAGCACAGCCATTTACTATTGCAGCCTCTCAAGACTTGAGCTGGCTCGAGATTTTAATACACTTGCTAAGACTGTTTTATCGTGAATTTTTCTTTAGTCATTAATGCTAGTTTTATTTATCTTTTTTTTTTTTTCGATTTAGTTTGCCAAAAACAAAAAGTATGCTAATGTACGTTGAAGTAGTCACGCTCTCCAGATTTTAAGGGCAGATTCCAGAACCATGTGTTATCGATTCTGGAATAATTTAAAACTCAAGGTTAATGTCTTGTTGTTTCATAACATATCCCTGTCCTTTCCTATCGGATGAGTTCCTTGCGGGCAGAGGCCTTTCTTAATTCCCAAAGAGGCATCTTGCCAGTAGGGAATCGGATGAGTAACAAATTTCACGTTACCCTGACAAATCCAGGCCCGTAGCAAGCATAAAATGACTGGGGGGGCTGAGCGAGTGGCCCACATTAACCCCCCCCGCTTCGGTCCCTTGGTTAAAGCATGCTTCTTGGTACATGTCAGATCACTACATTTGTCTACAATACATTTTGTTTTCCGTTTGTGTTGACTGACGAAATAAAGAAGTTGTTTGGGATATCTTTCGCTTTTTTTTTTTTAATAAGTTTTATAAGTTTTTATAAACATAGCATTTTAGGGTTTTTTAAAGTTTTCCAATCTTGATGTACAATATCACAATTGATTTTCATGCTTAACATTTTAGGATTTTTAAAGTTTTACAATTTTTTTACAATACTTGATGTATAATGTCACATAGGCTAGAAATGTAATGATTTTTAATCGGCTTTCATAATGTAAAGTGCATTGAGAACAGAAATGCGCTGCATAAGAATCTATATTATTATTATTAATAAAATTTGCCCAACAATTGCTTTCGGTTTTCTTTCTTCCCAACGAAGTCATTAGCTACGTCTACAAGGGTCAGAGCATCTGTTCTGTCCTTGTGAACATATAACATCGTGAGGTGGTTCAGTCTAGAGTCTCCCGTTGTTGAGCGCAAATGGACTATCTGATACGTTAACAAAAACTTGACCTGGGGGGCTGAGTTGCCTCTTTGTCGTTTCCTGTTTGCCAGCTATTGTTGTCGGTGGCTCCAAATCATTTTCATTTCCGGGTTGTTCTTTGATTTGGATTGTTCCTTCGACTACACCAGGCTCTGCATCACTAGTGCATGGTTTTACCCACAGTAAAAGTGTTCCCTGCTTATTTTCGACTTGTTTGGATTTCTTTTTCGGCGGCTCTTGCGAAGACATTGTAAGACTTCCAATATAAACGCGCAAAAACCTAAGTTTTAATCTAGTACAGTAGTATATTTTACACTGGCGAACCTCATAGGAAACCAATAAAGTTCAAGAGGTCACGTTCAGGGATTGTCATTGGTGCATTTCGATCCATTATGATTTTGCTTCTGACTATTTTGATGCTTAATAAGCAGATATTTTAAAGCTGTTGGTTGTTTTCATCCTCGGAGACCCAGGGGCAGTCAGTCGGGTCGAGAGAATAGGCGCGACGAAAGTTTTCAAGTACGGGCGAAAGAGCCCCTGGGTACCGACTCTTACCGAACCATTTCCAAAAATTCAAACGGATGCCGGCTCCTGATTGGGCACAAAAAAACCTTTGTATTATTGTGCCCAATCAGCGAACAGCATCTCCTGAGTTCTTTTCATGTGTTCGTACACGACGGCTATTATCTCGCCATACTTGTCTGGTTCGTTCACCAAGGTTTCGCGAGGGAAACTTTCACTTTTCTGCTTCCCCAAACAGAAACGAAGGAACTATCGATGACTCGGAAAAACGTTTGGGATGACTATTCCCATTTGCACCAAGAAAATTCTGCTTCTGACCGATCACAAGGTATCGTAAATAACGTAAATAGAAGGCGTGATCGATGAAAGCTTGAATTGAATACGTCTTGAAAGCTCAAGCTTTAAAATACCCTCACATGCGTTTCCATGTGTTAGTTTTCGGGAAGACAGTATTTTCAAATGGACGGGGATGTTCTGTAACTGAAAGTTTCCTGATTGCGTGCATTTCTTTGGTGAACGAGCCAGAGAACTATGCACGCGCGCATGCATTCCCACAGGTAAAGTAGGAAGGCTTTCTAAATTACCCGCGTTAAGTAGGTTACGCTACGCACGTGTGACTTCTGGAGAATCATGTTAGTAGTTAGCTTTTAACCGATGATGAACACCTCTGGAAATTTCTGTCTTAAGTGTGGTTGTGAGTTTTTGGAAAAAAAGAAAGAGGAATATTACTGGCGAATTTGGAAAGATTTACCAGGCTGTGTTCAATGAAAATTTAAGTGAAAATGATGCTCTGCCTCGTGCAGTTTGTGCAAGCTGCAAATACCAAATTGAAAAGGCATGGCAACAGTCAATAAAAGCAGAACAACAGTCAATTCAATACTTGTCATCGTTAAAAAGAAAACATGCCCAGTCTCCTTTGTCATCAAGTTGTGGTGACGAGCAAACAGTGACCCGAATAGAACGTAAGAGGAAAGGTCACAGACTTGTTTTTGAAGCCAACTGCCCTGAACAAATGTCGGTAACAGCAAATACACATCCAGCAAAAGAATGTGCATATATTCTACCAAAGTTACTCACACCATCTGCAGCATTGGCTCATGCATGTGTCAGTGAACAGCCATCAATCATACGTCAAGTCAGAGAAGTACATAATGTTGCTACGCAGACTCCAAAATCAAGCTGTCATTGCCAGCCAAGTGCAAAAAAAGGTACATTTGTTAAGGTAAGCAGCCAATATAATATTATTTTTCCAGTAATTATCAGGACAGCTTGTCTACAAGATCAGCTAAGTTACGTGTATTGATCTTACTCACGTCATGTCATATTAATTTGGGGAATGAATTCAAAGATACTAGTCTTGGTCCCCAAGTAAAATGAAGGCTGCAGTGTAATAAACCACTTGCGGAAATTCTAGACAGGTCTGCACATGTGGCAACTAAACATGTAAGCACTCAGTCATCTGTCCAGATTAGTCTCCTTGTAACCACAGGGCATAAGCATAATAATATTGAAAAACTGCCAAATTTCATTATCATTGGAAGCAAGTATCAATCTAAGCAGTATGCCTTTATTTATGAATGCAATGAATAATGATGTTGTTTTCTTTGTAATGATGTTGTTTTCTTTGTAATGATGTTGATTCAGTTGTAATTTTGTTCTTTAATATACAATAATTCTTATGTTCTGATCAAGGTGATTGTGCACTTCAAATCCAAAACTGTGTCAAGGGAATTACCCAAAGATCAAAGCGCTCTGGGGATAGCCCTTTGCTTAAAACGACCTGCTTCAGCAATCAGCGCAGCTGCTTTTAAATCCAAAAGTTTGAGAAATTCTTTGATTCATCGTGTCTGCCTCCAAATCAACAAGGAGTGTCGTAAACTGGAGAAGAAATCCTTGCTAAAGAAGACTGCTGTTAGAGACCTCAAACACTTTCAGTGGAATGCAGTTCTCAAAGAATGGATGAAGGAAGCCCCTACCTTTTACAAAGTCCTTAAGTCTATAGCAATGCCCCCCACAATTTCTAGGAACCAGAGGAAGAAACGGTTGTTGAAGCCCATAATTGGTTGTGCTGGAGCAGTACTGCTCAAGGGACGCAATTCAAGGTTATCTGCTGTGCAACATCTTGTTGGCCTTTCACTGTTTCTTGGGCGAACACGAAAAAAGGTGAGTTATTGTTTCAGTAGTTCCAGACATGGAGCTAACGTGGCTGGTCCTACTCTTTGACCAAAATGAAGTTCATGGTACCTTAGTTTTGGTCAAAAATAAAGAGGGAGCATGGCCTCTGCCCTTGCTCGGTGACTGATACCTCTTGCCAGTAATAATAGTATACTGTGTATGACAATTACACCTCTTGTTTTATGTCTTTGATGACTTGTTTTAATAATAACCATCAGGGATTTTCGAGACTACAAAAGCTTGGAGTGACTGTTTGCAAAGCTGTAACAAATAGAAAGATTGCAGAAGTGTCTCTTAGCTACAGCAAGAAAGTGAAGGCGTGGAGAGCCAATGTTGAAAACAAAAACAAAGATCCCCCAGAAGAGGTACATGTAGTTGGCTGAAATGTTCATTGAATTCGAAACAGTAATAGTAACAGTAATTTCCTAAGAGAAATCAGTTACAGAAATGCATTTTTATTTCCTTTTTTAATTTTTTAAAAATAATTCTTTGTTGTCTTGAATTTATTAAAATGTATGCTTATGTTGGTCCAACATTATTTTGCAGCTTACTGTTGTTGAAGAGAGAGGAGAAGAAAGTACTGCAGTGGATACACCATCTGAAGATCCAAATGTTGGTATGACAATGATTTTGCAATTTTTAAGAGACATTTATACGTAGTAGAAATAGCCTGTAGGTGTTCTTAATGCAATAACTATAACACTTACAAATCATTGACAACTGAAATAATCTGCCATTTAATAGAAAAAAATGACAGCGATAAGGATATTAATACTGTAGATTAAAAGCATAGGTATAAATTTTTTCAGAATACATGTTGGTCACCAAAACCATCTGCAAAATACTCAAATTAGCAATTGAAATAAGCACCCCTTGAGTCTAATATTATGAAAATTAGAGACCCCATTGAAATAAGCACTCCCCCAACCTACCCTCAAGAAAGAAAAAAATTACCGAATCTGAATATCTGTGATAGAAGTAGAATAGAATATTTTCAACACCAGAACTATAGGTCTTAAAAGGGAATAGAAATTTGAGAGCGGTCACACAGATTTGTGTTTCTTCTTATAGATACATGTACATTCTGCTACAGTGGATCTATTTACTGGGAATGACTTGACAGTTTGTTATTTTGCTAGGCCGAAACATAAAACCAAAGTAGGCACCCTTACCAAATAAGCACCTGCTGTTTAATTAGTGCCTCCTCTCAACTCTGAGAGAATTTTGCTAATTCAAGCATTTACAGTTGTTTTACTTTACTTTTTACCAGAATGTGAACATGTCCCAGATGGTTTTGATTCAAGGTCAGTGGTGTCAAATGACTCCCTTGTCAGTTCGGTAAATTCAGATTCAGACAACAGTGATGATTCTGGTGAAGCTACACCTCTGCAGTACACTAATGGCGTGTGTGACTATGGCTTGAATGGGGACAATTTGGACTGGCTCAGAAGACCTTCCATCTACTCAAAGGATAAGGACACTGAGTCAGTACACTGGTTTAATTTGTTGGCTTATGACAACAGGGTTGCTAACTTGGATTTGAATGATGATGCACCTATCAGACACATTATGGAATTACCCAATTCAAGTTTCCTGCCCACACCAGAAGATCATGCAAAACTCAAAAAGACTTTATTGTGCTTGTGCTTCGTATCCTAACCAAGCATTGCAAGTTCTTCAGTCAGTTTTCTCACATGATTCCTTCTCACCTTGCTCACCAATACAGCAAGGAAATGCGTCAGCACTCTCATATTGTAGGTTTCAACTTAACTAATGTTCTGTTCCTTCTGATCAGCTAGTTATTGTTGTAAATGTTATAACAACTTATTACAGGTATTCCAATTATTATCATCTTTTTTACTGAAAATCACAACTGGCAGTGTACCTTTATAAACAGATTTGGCTCCAATTTTTCTGCATAGTTTTTTATGTTGCCTCATTACAGAAGTTAGGTATAAGCAAAAGGAATCCAGCAGACCACTTTTTGGATGTATCAGTTTTCTGAATTTTTTCTTTATCCTTTGGGGGCAGGGGTTTGGGGACAGAAAACATTGAGGTGCTTCCTTGTTGGGGGGGGGGGAAGGAAGGGGCAGGGGGCATTAGACTTTGGAGATGGTCATTGGGGTGTCATGAAAGTTTTCTCATGTCACATAGACCCAAATGTTATCACCGCTATTTTATCAGGAACTTCACTGAAATACCATCAAAAAGCCTTTTCATATATCAAGCAGAATGAGCTTACAGACATTACCATGCCCAGTGCTGTTTCTTGTACCAGATCTAGAGGAAGAGTGGGGCCATTGCTACTAAATCAGTGGAATATGTTGCTTCCAAAACAATATTCTTTAATGCTGGGAGGGGGTCATTTAATTTTTGTTGTTGTCTGAGGGGGGTTGAAAGTTATTGAAAGGAGAGCCGTGTAGAGCCCCCACCCCATCCGAAAGGTAATCAAAATGATTAATAAAATGACTGAATACCATAACATGTAATTTACATGTATGGTTAAAGTAACCTAAAATGGAGCATTGCTCTGTAGCTTGTGGGTTGAATCGGTTGTTGTAGAATATTGCATTTTACCTCCTCAAAAATTTTATTTTTGATGAACAGAACCCAGATTTTTAATCAAAGTATCAAACAAGTTCTGAAATTATAATATAAGAAATAGAAATGGTAATAATAATAATAATAATAATAATAATAATAATAACAACAACAACAACAACAATAATAATAATAATAATAATATTTTAGCAGTGAGCCCACTTCAGCAGGTGATCTTCAGTGGGGTTCTGAATGTTATTATTTTGAACACCGATGATAAGAAGGTAACAGGTGATAAATTTATTACTTGTACTATTAGCTAAACCCTTTTTTGAAATCATCAGGTACACCTGGGTCTCTTGGAAAAAAATGAGAATAAAATCCCCGAGATGTTAGAAATTCTTCAGCACTGTAATGAGGAGTATGTTCCAACTAATGCTGACAAGTCCAGAATTCTTCAAAAGATACCGCTTGGTGGCGACCATTTAACTGTTGAGCGGGCTGTCAGTGCTGTTAACGCCGTTGCTGATGCAGATAGCCCTTATGAAAGACTCCATGGCCTTGTGCTAAAACATGAAGATTTTCATTGTGAGATGAATTTTCTACAGGTGATAAATAAAGCAATATGCTCCATTTAACATAAAACTTTGTCCTTATTGGATTTCCATTACTGCTTTTTTAATGGTCCACTTATCTTAACAAACATTAGTAACTCTAACTGCACTGGTGGATAATTGGTTATTTTATCAGCAAGAAATTTATTTTATATGTTATTTTGGATAATCCTATAAATAAAGTATGTATTATTTTAAATACAAATTTGCAGATGCTGTTTGATTATCTCTACAAAAGCCAGTCAGTGGGAGACTTGGGAACCCTGTATCAACTAAAAACAAGATTGAACAGAAAAGACGTGTGTGACAAAGTAAACAAATCATATCATGGATGTGAAGCATTCTTCAACTCCGTTGTAGATGGGTATATAGTATATGCAGCCATGGTATTTTTTGGCATGGCATCCCCAAACAGTACTCCCAACTCAAACCAACTGGAACCTGGTGCCACATCACAGACACAGTTGTTTGACGCAGTAGAGAAACTTGTGGAGAAGTATGTCCTTCTTGAAGCACAACCTGCAGCAGTACTCTTCACTGATATACAACAATCAGAACATCCCCAAATTTTTAAGTGTAGGTACCCAGATTGTAACAGAGAATATCAACATGAGAAACGGAGAAACAACCATGAAGTTACAGTGCATGGCCTGAACATAACAAATCATGAGCAAAATGAAAGAAGTCCCCCAGATCCATGCAATGAAGATGGGATTTTCAATTATTCGCATAACATTGTCAAAACAGGTCTTCTTTTCAAAGATTTTCAAGATGCAATTAAAGAGGGTGATGGAGGAAGAGTTGAATACCTATGGAAATTTATGATGCTGTTGTTTAAAGTGAGTGGGAAGACAAAATATGCTTTGGCAGCTGTAAGGCTCCACGCACAACTTCATGCACTACTTACACCAAAAGAGGCCCATTCTCTCCGCTGGAACCGTACTGTAAATCTCAAAGGTGGGGTGGGGAGAAACATTGCAATTGATCAAGCCATGGAGCATTGTGTGAGAGACACGAAGCAGCTGATGTATGGCCAAGGTGCAAACCTTTCTTTCAAGGTGGCTCAGACCTACAGCAGGGCTAGTGACGATGTCAAGTCCATCATGAACAATTTTGATCAGACAACTAATGTCCGCAGAGAGTCAACAAAACACAAAAGAGGGGAAGATTCAGACATCACTACCATTGTCAACATTTTAAAGGAAATTGAAGCATTTTGTGAAGTTCCTGGAAGAACACACTCTAATGTTGGATCCATCCCTAAAGACCCCATATCTGTTCTTGACTTTGCAGACTTAAATGCATGGCTAACAAAGCACAAGAAAAACTGGGTAAATTCAGTTTAGATGCGCATCCTTACAATTTTTAAGTCAAGTCAAAATTTATTCCAAATAGTTGGTTCAGTATGGCCACATAAGGTTTCTCCTAAAAGATTATTAAGGACTTCAACTTTTAAAAGATGGATACAACTCTTTTAAATTGGACACCACAACAATGGCTTCAATTGCATGCCCTATACTATTAGTGAAAAGGATAATATGTTAGTTGGTTGTCATTACAAGTTTCCCTAATAGTGTTATAACCAGTTACAAACACCCTTAATTTTGGCATCTTTAACCTTAAAAAGAAGAAAAAATTTGTTGGCCAGACAGAGCAAGTGAGTCATTTTAATTTTTCAAAAACTAATAGTGGCTATCGACTCTCCCAGCCAAATTTCTTCAAAATCTGTGAGAAGGAAACAATTATTAATTGACTTTGTAGGGACAAATGAAAAAGCTAGTTTCTAGCATTAATGCAGGAAAGTGATCTTTTAAAACAGTAAGAGCTATTTTGCATCACTTAAACCTTGCAAGTCAAATCAGTCACTGACTTCTATCAGTCTCTGTCCCTACTGGTCAACAACAGGGACCCATCTTTCACAGTCTTTCATTCAAAACAAGAACAAATGGTACAAAGAATTTTTTTTTAAAAAAACTGAATTTTTATATTAAGAGAACAGCTTCATGTCCCACAGAAAAACCCATTTCACATCTCATCAAATTCTTTTAGAGGAGGCCATATCAAAGCCAAGTCCAGCTGTAGGTATTGAAATATCATAGCCTTAGAAAAGTAATTATTCTTTGCAAAATATACTGTTATTATCAAAATACACAGCATACGTGGATGAAAGGCATTGATACTGAAAGTCCTGACAAGTGAGATTATATATTAACTACTGCTCCAGACTTTCTTGTTGTAGGTCTGTAAACACCTCACAAAGACAATCATACACTTTGAATGCATGCTGTACACTTAAAACTGGAATTTGTTTAATAATATCATCAACACTAAACAAAAAATCACACTTTGAGGTTGTATCTTCAATTATGCGGTCAGTAAAGCCAGTGATTTGGTCAATATTTGAATAAAAACAATGCTGACTTGATTGTAACACTGCCTGACGCATGCTTTCCTGACACTCCTCTAATAGACCCTTTAGGGCTCTTCTATCACTTTCACTTACACTTCTGCCCCTTGGAGCATCATCAGCTGCTGGAAGAGTCATTTTGGAGACCATAGTTCCCACATTTTGTGGACAGTCTTGTCCACAAGCACAATCTTGAGCACAGACATCACAGCATAAATGTTTCTTCTCTATTCTTCTTCCTTGACTTGTAACTTTAAAAAAATCAAGAATTTGCCTTCTTCTGCAGGACTTTGACTTTGTGTATTCTAGCATCTCTGGTTTACACTTGAAGTTGTCTTCCATGAAAGAGTAATGCTGCCTCTGAATATGCACCATCTCTACCAGCTCTTCCCATTTCTTGAACATATGATTCTAGGTCTGGGGAGGACCATAGTTTATAACATGGTGTAAACCCTTTATGTCTACCCCCATTCCAAGGGCATTTGTTGCAATCTGGTCGCACCTTACCAATTGGATCCTTGAGTGATTGTAATACGTGATCCTGGATGGAAGGTGAAGTGCCACTGTGATACATTGCCACCATTCTGTTTGTACACTTCTTTTCAGCACCATATGGGTAGTACGCCTTGTCAAGCAAACTGCTCATGAAAAATTGGTAGAGCTCACCACATGTTTTATAGTCTCGGACATATATTAATGTCCGCAGACATGCAATGTTCTTTTCGTTTAACTCCCTGGCAAGCCATGTAAAGTTTACAGAAATTTCACTGGTAACCTTCAAAACAAACAGCTTGATGTTCTCTCTGTTTGGACTAACTGATATTTCCAGACATTTCTTTAAACTCAAACTTTTAATGATTTTATCTCTGGTCAAGGGTGAAGCAGTGGCTGTAAGTGCTAAAAACGGGACTTGCTTTGGCAAAAAAGACCTGATCTCACCAACAAGACCACACCACTTTCTGAATGGCTCCTTTCCATCCTTTTTCTCACCCCTAGAGAGACCAGACAAGTGATTTGTAGCTAAAGAGCGATGTTCTACATAAATAATATATCTTACTTATCTACCATGCAAGCAGCAAAAATTATAATAATGCTCTTGTTATTGTATAAATATTTTAGAATGACTGTATAATCATAAGATATTGAACAATTCCAAGAACACTATTAGGCATGAAAATGTACATAATTTTGTGTAGGAAATGCGGAAACAGTATACAACTGCAACATAGTATTTAGCAATTCCTGATAGGGGTTTAACTATGACTGTCCATATATCTTCAGAAAGGATATATTAAAGGAGAATGATTCAAAAGAAACTGGCCATGGTTGTGAGTTAGTGGGTAGCAAAACATCACAGAGACAATATTACAGTGGAGGTAACATTGCTTCCAGTATACAATGTATTGTATATACTATCACGTTTTGACCACCTAAGAGCTTACATTAAGCACATGCAATGCAATTAGTTTCTGCAAATATAGGAAACTGTACCTTTCCTACTAGAGAAGACTAACACCTACACTGTACATCTGTCATGTCACTCATGAGAGAATGCTTCCTCTTTACAGTGAGTTAGTAATAACAGAAATTTTTGACATCAGTTTACGGCTAAAAAACATTATTTAACTCAATTTAATGCAATACTAATTATTGCATTAAGCAGATTTCAAGAATAAAAAGGAAACAAATAAAGCTTAAAGTTTCTTACCAGTGTACCACAGTGTGAACTTCGTCACAGACAAGGGCCACAACATTCTGCCTGTAATGCTGCTGTGAAAACATTTCCCGGAACTTTATGTCCCCAACAAATGACTCTGGACTTCCATATAAAAAGTGACATTTAATCTTGCCCTCAAAAAATATCATTATCTTGTTTAGCACTTTCTCCAATGAAGGCAGCTTCAAAGCCGTGTGACCTCAAGTATGTAACCTGGTCTTTCACGATTGAGCTTAAAGGGGAAACCACAATTACCACTGGCAATGAAGGCATGTCAAATCCCCGGCAAAATAAAGCTTTACAAACGCTAGGTAAGATCTGAAAAGTCAGGCTTTTTACCGAATCCGGTGGGCAAAGCTGCAAACACGTCCTTTTAAGGACAACATTCTCAACGATTAAAACCTGCTCAGGCTTCAGTTCCTCGACGTCTGGAAAAGACTTAAGACCTTCAGAGATAGCTTCTCTAATATCTTTCCTTGTTGGAATAATGGCAGCCATGATTCTCCATAAGTCACACGTGCGTAGCGTAACCTACTTAACGCGGGTAATTTAGAAAGCCTTCCTACTTTACCTGTGGGAATGCATGCGCGCGTGCATACTTGTCTGGCTCGTTCACCAAAGAAATGCACGCAATCAGGAAACTTTCAGTTACAGAACATCCCCGTCCATTTGAAAATACTGTCTTCCCGAAAACTAACACATGGAAACGCATGTGAGGGTATTTTAAAGCTTGAGCTTTCAAGACGTATTCAATTCAAGCTTTCATCGATCACGCCTTCTATTTACGTTATTTACGATACCTTGTGATCGGTCAGAAGCAGAATTTTCTTGGTGCAAATGGGAATAGTCATCCCAAACGTTTTTCCGAGTCATCGATAGTTCCTTCGTTTCTGTTTGGGGAAGCAGAAAAGTGAAAGTTTCCCTCGCGAAACCTTGGTGAACGAACCAGACAAGTATGGCGAGATAATAGCCGTCGTGTACGAACACATGAAAAGAACTCAGGAGATGCTGTTCGCTGATTGGGCACAATAATACAAAGGTTTTTTTGTGCCCAATCAGGAGCCGGCATCCGTTTGAATTTTTGGAAATGGTTCGGTAAGAGTCGGTACCCAGGGGCTCTTTCGCCCGTACTTGAAAACTTTCGTCGCGCCTATTCTCTCGACCCGACTGACTGCCCCTGGGTCTCCGAGGATGGGTTGTTTTTGGCAGAGCAAAAATACGATTTTGTTCATTTACACAATTCCAAAATTGCACAGTGCTGAGTTGTTCAAAGCTGGGTTAAGATAACCCAGGGTTAGTGCAAGATTTGAATGCAGATGTGAAAGCTTAAAAAGCATTTCAGTTTCAATTCTTTTTGTCTACAGGTTGATTGGAAGCTTTAAAAATAACAGAGAAAATTATCCGATCAAATGCTTTTGAACACAAGAAAAAGAAATCCGGGTTAAATTTAACCCCAGGGCACTAATGGGCCTTTGAACAACTGGGCCCAGAAGAAAAACAGTACATAATCTTACTATGATCGACAATACTTTGAAATTTTAGGTTCCATTGACAGCTGTCCATTTTAGTAGAAAAATTCCACTTTTGCAGCAGAATTTTATTCAAGTCTGAAAATTTCTGGGGGGGCTCGAGCCCCCCCTGCCCCTCCCCCTGCTACGGGCCTGAAATCTTATAAAGTACGAAACGAAAGTGATGTAAGGATACCCGAAATAGATGGTAAATGATGCGTTCAAGATGTAAGCCCTGGGGGTATAGCCTGTTTACAGGCGCTCCCTCCCCTAATCTCTCCTCGATTTTATTTGAGCGGAGGGAGCGTCTGTACACAGGCTACGGGGGAGGGACTGGTCTATACGTGGTCGGAGGCTCCGCCCAAAAGGAGTACCTTTTCAGGCTTCAGGTATGTGAAAGGGTGGGGATTTCACTAGTTGAAGGATATAAAAGGGTTGGGAAATCTGTCATTTAGGTCTGTAAAAGCGCCTAAAAGGGCTATCAGAAGGATTTTATGGCTGTAAACGTGTTGGGAAAATTTCCTGGTTTTGTGAGTTTTTGAAATTTAAAATCAGTGCCTTTTTTACGGCAGTTAAAAGGGATTCGAAGACAGTTCTAAACTAGGTTTGTGAAAGGGGTACCATTTGTCAATGGAGGGTATACAAAAGTGGTACCTTTTCTGTCAAAGTTGTATACAGCTAGCTATAGTTCGAGAAAGGTTGTCGGAAAAAGTGCACGCGACAATCCCGAAAGGTATTGTGGGTGGTTTTCAGTTCTCTGTTTTCAAAACAAATTTCAAAGAATGACAAGAGAGGCCACGGACGTATGTTTGTGAGGGCTAAAAGGAAAGCAAAAAAGTAGGTTCGACAGGTACAGTGTCAGGAACAAGTCATTAATCATTTCCCATATTACCTTTCGGGATTGTCGCGTGCACAGTTTCTAAAAATAGCTGTAAAAGGGAAAGGAGTTGGACCTAGAGGCCAAGCCTCCCCTTATAAGACTTTTTTTGGTTAATCCCCTATAGGCATAATTGCTGGAGTATTTAAAAAGGTTAAACTTCGTGGTGCTCTGTTTTAAAGAATAGTAACTCCTCTGTCTCCTCAGGCGCATTCTTTTTCCCTGGTCAAATTAAAGATCGGTTGTTACTCTCCTTGAACAAAAGAGTTCGTATGTGTTCGCGAAATCTTCTGTCCTATTAATTTCGTCTTGACTGATTGCTCGTAAACTGAATCTACTATATTTCTATTGGTTAAGCTGTCACATTTGGGCAAACGATCCGCCCCTTAGTCATGACCTGCAACTGGTTTACCTACTGTAACGGGGTTCCGTTTTTGTAGTCATTTTCTTTAAACTTCTAACTCGCATTCCACATTTGTTAGCTGTCGTCGCCTTTTCATATTCCTCGAACACCATTTGTTTGCTCTGACCGAAATATTGATTACCTTCTCTGTTACATCCCCCTGCCCGCCTAAAGCGAGGGACGTACCGAAAGAGACGCTCGTCATCAACCATATCCTGCATCTTGTTGTCACCCAACGTAACAAGGTAATCATTCAAATTTCATATACTTCTTTACGGTTTTTAAGAACCAAGAGAGCAAGAGGGAGTCACCACCTTGACCCACCATGGAGTGATGCCTGAAACAGGCTCATCAATGATAAGATATCAGAGAAGAAAGTTAAATGCCCTGCAAATGTTAGTAATTACGTAGGGAGATTTCACGGCGCCCGTTGTTTGAGACGCTGTACTCCTGCGACAAATAGGGTCAGAACTTTGCAAAAGTGTTCATCAATATTAGAAGGGTCTTTCAAGTTGAAGTTTTAGTCTCGGGATGAGACCAGACCAAAACTATAACACATATATCGGAAGCTTGTTTGTAATAAATTTTTCTATCCAGGGAATTGAATCTTCGTTACACTAAGTTTAACATTTCTTGTTTCAAGGACAATGGACATCTGTGCAAGTAAGAATTTGTAATATTACTATAATAATAATAATAATAATAATCTATTTCACCACTCAACACTGAACAAGGACGTAAGATATGATCCCAAAAGTGTCTAGCCTCCTGAACACCTGCAGGGAGCACATCGCTCGGACCAATACTTCAATATCCATCGTCAGTTCAAGGATGTTTGTACATGTGTCTTTAAAAATTTACCTGAGTCTCACGATTTTAGGACCCGTGGCTCGCGCTCCC